GCCTGGCCTGGGGGTGAGGTTGGTGGTGGTGGTGGTGGTGGTGGTGGTGATGGGACTAAGGAAGAAGGAACATTGAGAATTCATAGTAACTTCTTAGTGTTCAAGTAAAGTATTGCATGGAGAGAAAACTAATATTTATAGGGGTATAATCGGTTTGGTATGGTCGGGGTACAGGGTAAAATTCCCATCAAACTGAATCTGTCAGTTTTATGCATAAGAGCACCAAACCAACCAAACATATTTGAGGTTGTTAATTAATGCTATTCAAATTTGATATTATTTTACTTAAGTATGGTAACACTAAATGCTATTAATCAAACTTTACTATAAATAAAATTTTTTTTTTTTTTTTGGGGGGGGTTGTTGGGTTTTTAATGAATTTTTTAAAAAAAATTAAAAAAACTACACTTGAATTTTACTCCACTAGATCAAGTAGAAACATAAAAATTAAAAATACGATTTTTTTTTTTTAAAAATCCTAAAAAGACCCCCTAAAAATAGGCAAAAATAATTAGTATTTTTTTGGTTATTTTATTTTATTTTTTTTACTCGAATTTATTTACACAAGGCAAACCTAAAAGGTAAAATCTTTTGATATAATTTTGGGGAAAAAAAATCACTAAAGGTAAAAGAACTGAGAAAAAAAAGGGCTACCTTTTTGGATATATGCCAAATGAAACTGTATAAAATACCATCTAATCTGCTAAAACCCCACCAATCTACATCAATTCACACCGCAGTTTAAATTTTAAAATTTATAATTCGTCTTCGAAACCACTCCACTACGCTCTAATTAATACATATATATTTTTTAACTTATAATGAAATATCAAAATAAAAATAAATGTGATAAAAATTTAAGATGTGAAATTAATTACAAATTAATAATTATATATATAAAAAAATATTATGTAGAATTAATTGGTGTTACATATATAAAAAATATTATGCAAATTAATATCATATATTATACAGAGAATTTATAATTGGTTAAAATATTTTTTAATCTGTCCAAAACTGTTCAAATCATAATTTACCAATCCATCAATCCGCTTGAACCGCACCACTCACGCCCCTAAAAACTCCCCTGAGAAGCAAGGGAACGGATGCGTTTTATCTTTTAGCTTCATATTGTCAACTTTTAACTTGCCAAATGCTGCACAACACAAAGCAGACCCAAAATCCGTGATTCATTGCTAATGTGCTTTGGGGGCGGCATGTCTGCAGCTTGCCCATGTCCGCATTTTCTAAAGCATGTTTTGTGTTCCTTAAGGATTTATAACACGCGCGCGCGCACACACACGCGCGCGCACAAAAAAACAAACAAACAAACAAAACAAACAAAACAAAAAGTAAACAAATTTGAATCACATTCCTGCAAGTGAAAAACACTATGGCCACTGTAAAATTCAAGCAATTCATGTATTTCTGTAGTCTATTGCACGGAAAAACAAAAAAGACAACCTTTATCTATATAGACTATATTACAAAAATCACAGACCAACTGTCTACCCCACATTTGTCGCAGGAAAAACAACAAAAATGAAAACAAAGAAAGTGGTAAATAGTGTCTGTCCACACTGACAAATAAGCACGTGACAAAGAATCAAAATACACATAATATTGGTGTGTGCTTGACAAAAAGTGCAACTCAGACCAGATCGGGTTCAAACAACTTTGCTGACAGGAACACCAATTTTGCAGCTTACACGTAGAGTTTCTCATTGTCAAAGCTGTAAACGTATAACCCTGCTCACCACAAGGAAAGGCAGACCCTGCAAAATTATATTAGTTTTAGAGCCAGCTCTGGTGGTGACAAAGATTCATGAAGCATTTATACCCAAAAGCATCCAAGAGATCTTAAAAGTTCCAAACTACCCACAAAATCGACTACTGTAAAGTGTATAAGGTAAGTGAGAGTAGTGGAACTAGAATTTTACTTTTTGAGCCACATTTTTTTTTTCCCCCTAGAAAAAGAAAGCAAAAGAAAAGATAAATGGAAGAGGAAGAACAAAAAAAGATGGCACTTAACCAACATCAGGGAAGACACCAAATTTCAGCTTAATAGAGGCCCAACATTCTTAGCTCCGTGATGTGGCTGGGATCAAGTTCTTGGAAATCCTTATTAGCTTCTCTGTCTTCTACCACATACTCCTTTAACATAAAAAATCAGAAATCAATCAATTGAGAACTCAAAGAATCAATAAGGGGATTAATGCTTGATGATTTAACTGGGACATTAATGCTTCTCAAAACTGGGACATTAATTGTACCAATATCTCAGTAACTGAAAGAACAAAGTTGGATAAAAACTGAAACAATGTCTCTCTATCCAAACTACTAAAGGATGAAACTGTCAGGGTTAAAGTATGAAATTGTATCACCAAAATAGTTAAGTTTAAAATCAAACAATTCACGCACGAAACACAAAAAAACCCGACCCGATGAATTCCCAACTACACCAATCTTGATTATTCCAGAGCAAGGATCGGGTTATACAATTTATTGTGATTTGTCACGGGATGAGTTGGGTTGTGTGTTGACATCAATTGAAGACACACAAGAAGAATTACCTGACTTACAACTTGGAGCTTGTGGCTTTGCTTGAAGATTTTGAGAGACAATACCTTTACGGCTAGAAATTTGAAGTGTTTTTCAACCACAAGAGCTTGAAAAACATGTTTTCACAAAAGAACCTTAATCTATGTCAAAGATGGGTAGAATTCATGGCTGATTATAATTTCACTTGCATTATCACCGGGGAAAGGCGAATGTAGTTGTTGACGCTTTGAGTAGGAAATCCGTTAGTCATCTAGGTGGCGTAGCCATTCGAGAACGGGAGATGTTTGGAAATATCAGCGAGTTTGATCTACACTTGGCGAATTCTAAGAGATTGCAATGTTATTTACCATGATTACTCTGCTGACTCTTGTTAGTAAAGTTTTAGAGGCCCAACAACACGACGTAGAGACTAAGACCATTGGAGACCGCATTTCCAAGGGTGAGGAGGAATGGGGATTGACCATCAATTCAGACTTTGACTTTGATAGTGAGGTACATGGATAGGATGTTTCTATTAGAGTCTTGTCATGATGACACTTTTAGAGTGTTTCATCATTCCAATCTAATAGTGCATCCTTCTTGTCATTTCGAGATGTTTGACTTGTCAACAAGTAAAGGTCAAACATCAAAAACCCGCTAGATTATTACAATTATTACAATTATTACTAGTAGCTGAATGGAAATGCGAGCATATCACGATAGAGTTAGGACTTCTGAGAACCATACAAGGGAATGATGTTATTTGGATAGTGGTGTACCGTTTGACAAAGACCGCACAATTTATTCCAATGCAACCCAACGACACTGTAGAAGATGTTAGAATGTGTTAGAATCTTCCTATTATTTGTTTCCTTAGATTATTCTGTAATTCCTTCATGAGGGCCTTTGGGCTTTCTTTGTAACAATTGGTTGATTAATATAAAGGGAGTGATATCATTATCACTCTCAAAGTTGATTTACCCTCAAAGCAAACATAGTATCAAAGCTTTAGGGTTCTAAACCTAGCACCCATCATCGTCTTATCATCACCAAACACCAATCAAAGAGCACCAACTACAACCTAATCAAATTTTATTTATTTATTTGATAAATTACAACCTAATCAATTTCGACACCTAACTATCTCCTATGACTCATTGTACCTAATTTTCGGATGCTCCTCATGCCCTAGGAGGGATCGCGACACTTGTCAAAGCCCTTCTGATCTTCGTCGCTTGTCTCCTAGGCCTCTGGCTAGTTCATGATTCACCCTACGTCGTCTGACTCTGCTTCGTGCTTCGACCCAGATCAGGCTATTCCTTGTGCGACATTAAGTAGCTTGTTTGGTCACTCTCTCATCTTCATATGGCTTCGATAGGCTAATATAGACAACCTATGGTCTGATTGGAATTTGTTTTTATTCTCATTCTCTTCAATACAACATTTTAAACTTTTATAATTGAGTCACCACGACTGCTATTTTTATTGAAGCTACACCTTTTATTATTTTGTTTAATTTTTGAGCTGATAAATGGCCCCATTAATCTGAATGTTATGCTTCCATTTTGATATGTGTTGAGATTGCTTGCTTATTCCATTCTCTCTTTCCAATATTGTGATTAGTGCTGTGATTTTTTTGGTTAAGTTAGTGGCATAGACATTGCTGACCCATCTAATGAATCCACTACTTCTCACCCAACTAAGGGGAGAATCCCAGTCCAATTATGACTACTACTTCTGAGAACCTCAACCCTAGCCTAAAACTCACCACCTCTCTGTTTAATGGTCAGAATTACCTTGCATGGTCTCAATGTCTAACACTTTTCTTGAAGAGTAAGGGGAAGATGGGAAGAGTTCAAGCACCGGGTATTACTGATCCTGGCTATGATCAATGGGAGATTACCAACTCTTTGATTATGGGGTGGCTCATTCATTCCATGGTACCGGAGACTGCCCAGGATATTTGGGAGGCAGTAACTGCTACATATTCTCGAAAGGGAAATTTTTCTCGATCATTTGAGTTGCACCGGTCTATTGAGCGCTCAGTTCAGGGGAAGCAGACAGTTCTTCAGTATTACACCTTTATGACTAATGGTTAGAAACGCCTAAATCATCTCCTAGATTACAAGCATGTCTGCACCATTGATTCAGTTGGTTACCGAAAGTTTCTTGCACAGGAGAGGATCTTCAACTTCTTAGAAGGCCTTAATGTGGAGTTTGATCCGGTCCAAAGTCGTGTCCTTGGTATGAATATTCTTCCATCTCTTCAGGAGGCATTTGCTTATGTCTAGAATGAAGATCGTTGTCGTTCTGCTATGTTACCTCTGACTTCCACAGACCGTTCAACATTACTTTCTGCACCTTCTCGAGATAGGGCTGGTTTGCCACTTTCTTCTTCTCATCCTTCTGGGAAGGATAGTTTGTTTTGTGATTACTATCGCTGGCGAGGCATACCCGTGAGATTGTTCGAAGCTTCATAGGACTCCATCAAGGCACCGAGGAGAGATTGCCCTAGTCATAGAGGCGATCGTGCTAGTTAGTCGAGAAGACGTGGGTCCCACTCTCATGTTCATCAGTCCAGTACTGTAGAGATACATGATTCAGTTCCGGTTATGCAGACGTTTGAGGGACTCTCTGGTATGTCATCCTCTGAGTTTGAGGATGCTCTATGCACTCTACTTGATCGCTGGTCTCCTGTTTTTCCAAGTGCATCTTCTGCTTTTTCTTTTGCTCGTTCAGGTAACTTAGCCTTCATCTTCTAGTGTTTTCTTATCCCATAAGGCCTTGCCTCGGGGATTATTGATTCTGGTGCCTCAGATCATATGTCTAGGTCTTTTGATCTCTTCTCAAACTATACCCTAGCCTCCGGTCAGGATAAAGTTAGGATTGTAGATAGTACTATTTCCTCCGTCTCTGGAAAAGGCTTAATCCATGCCATCTCTTCCCTACCTTTGTCTTATGTTTTACAGGTTCCTAATTTTTTTGTTAACCTATTATTGTCTTTGAGTCGTCTTACTCGAAATTTGAATTATAGTGTAACCTTTTTTCCTAATTCTTGTCTTTTTCAGAACCTTATCACGAAGAAGACAATTGGCAATGGTAGAACAGAAAATGACCTCTATATCTTAGATCAAACTGACCAGCAGACTCATCATTCCATCCAATCTCCATCCACCACAAAAGATCAGCGTCCAGGACATCCATCTTTTTTGTTACTTGGACATTTATTTCCTTCTGTTTTTATTAAAAATAAAGTCTCTGAATTTCTTTGAGTCATGCCAACTTGGCAAACACCGAACTTCTTTTGCTTCTAGTAACAATAAAAGTTCCGTTCTTTTTTCTTTAATTCATTCGGATGTTTGGGGTCCCTCTCGTGTAATGTCTATGAAAGGTCATCAATGGTTTGTTATTTTTATAGATGATTGCTCTCGTGTTACTTGGGTGTATCTCATGAAAGAAAAAAGTGAGATTTTTTCTGTGTTTCAGAACTTCCACAAGATGGTTAGTACTCAGTTTTGGGCGATTGTCAAAGTCCTACGTTCTGATAATAGAGGTGAGTACCTTGATTCGGGTTTGGCTCAATATTTTTCACTCGTGGCATTATCCATCAAACATCTTGCACTCTCAACAGAACGAGGTTGTCGAGCACAAGAATCGGCATCTCCTTAATATGGCTCGTTGTGTGTGTTTTTCTATGGATGTCCCTCAAGCCTATTGAGCCAAGGCTGTTCTCACTACTGCTTATCTCATTAACCATCTTCCTACTCAAGTCTACAAAAAAGGGCACCTCTTCAAGTTCTCTTAGGTTCTGAGTCTCTATTTTCATTCCTCCAAAACCCTTTGGTTGTATCTGCTTTGTTCGCAATCATTCTCCTTCTCGGGATAAGTTGGATCCTCGTTCTCTCAAATGTGTGTTCTTGGGTTACTTCCCTACTCAAAAGGGGCACAAGTGTTACCATTCTCCCTCTCGTAAATGGTTTGTGTCCATGGATGTCTTTTTGAGTCTCACTCCTACTTCTCCAATCTCGTATCCCAGTCCTCTCTTCAGGGGTAGTCTTGAAGTGAAGACAGCCCTATTACTTCTATTATTCCTAGCTCAGTATTGCCATCAGAGGTACCTATTATTCCTGGTCCAATACCACGTCTAGTGATACCTATTACTAGCAATACAGAATCCGATGTTACCAAGAACAAAGGAGGGCAAGCCTATGTCAGGGATAAGGAAAGGCAGCAAGTTACTTGGATACAAGAAACCATTTCTGATCAATCACTGCCATCTCCTTCTCTTGATGAAGGTCCAGGTAATCCTGAAACTCCTGATATTGCCTACCTCTGAGCCTGAGCATATTGATCTTGATATACCCATTGTCAAGAGAAAGGGTGTGAGATCTTGCACTCATCATCCTATTTCTATCTTTGTGTCTTATTCTCGTTTGTCCTCTTCATATAAAACCTTTGTGTCAAAAATTTCCTATGTTAGTATACCTAATCATTTTCAGAATGCTCTTACTACTCCTAAGTGGAAACTAGCCATGGTGGATGAAATGAAAGTACTTCATAAGAATGGCACTTGAGATTTGACTGAGTTACCTAGGGAAAAACGAAATGTTGGA